TTTCTTTCAGTTCAGAGTTTACTAGGTTCATAAAAGACGTACAAAGAAGAAGTGGGAATATATTAAGTTTGAGCTCCACTGAAATTCTAAGCAGAGTGACAGATCTCATTCTGGACCAGCAAAATGAGGTCTGTAGTAGTTGCTGCTATTTCTACTGTGCATCTCTGACAGTGGAAATAATGCAGCACAGTCTAAAACAGAATACAAATTTCTCCTTGCTGTCAACCTCTGAACTGTGAACTTGCTCAAAACTCTTATCCAATACCTGTCTAGGCATCAACTTCTGTAGGGAGACCCATGAAGTCAGCATCATCTGCTTCAGCAGGACAGGCAGGAACTCAGAGTCAGGAAGCAGCTACAGAAGCAAATGTTTCCAGCGCACCCCAGGCAAGGCCTGCACACAAAAGCACCTCAAGTAAAAACATGTTGCCACCTCAGCCAAATCTCCAGCCATGGGGGAATGCTGGAGCAACACCAAAAGCTAAATGGAAAAAACAAGACTATATAGTAAGTTCTCCACTGCATCGTGAATTTGAAGTTATTACCATGTGCGTTTTTTATGAGATATGAAATAATCAAAGTATTACTAGACAAAAAATAATCAGGACTTCTTCATTTTGTGGACAAAATCTTAAATAGACAGCTTGATGATTAGTTGTTGCTATCTTACTAATCGCTTTTTGTTCAAATAATTTTTTTTTTAAATGTATAGCCTTCCAGCGATGATCCGTGCACCATATGCCATGATGAGTTAAGCAGAGATTCATGTGAACTGGAATGTGGGCATCATTTTCACAGAGAAGTAAGGATTTTTTTTTCTTACCACTTATATCGCTTAGTATTGCTTAAATGCAAATGTTGACTAACTCTCTGTTCAGTTATACAGTTTTTTACTTTTTAGAAGCTTCTCCCTCCCCTTTATTTTCAGTATCTGAAGTTAGGAATGGCAGGACATTGTTTTCCTTTCCATACTTTTTGCACCAAGACTTGCTATACGCAGTCTTTCTGTTTTGGAAAGTTTCCAGTTTTAGATCTTAACTAAAGGGTTAAACTAAGAACTAAAGGGTAACTCATCAGACTGAATTTAAGCTTACTTTGAATTCAGAATAATCAAGTCTTGGTAATCAAATTACGGATTTCTGTTTGCAGCATCCATAGAGAAGTGGCCACTGCTATAAAGTTGCTTTTGCTACCTGATAGGAGCTGCAGATATAACTTCATGTAGTAAGGAGGCAAAAAATTATACTGAAATAACACAATACTTCTGTCCATGATTTTTTCCCATTTCCATATTTGTTTATTGCTTTTTTGTCACTTGCAAAATAGGTTGGTGAGGAGAACATCAGAACTGGAGAATAGTTTTCTAACTGCAAATTTCATAACAAGCTGTACAAGGAGGTGGAAAATTGCTTACTTGTCAGAAACAATTAAGAAAGTAATGCTGAACTCTATACCAGACTGAGACTGTTTCCTCAACATAATCTTCCTGTTCTTGCAGTGCATTAGAAAATGGCTTAAGGAACATTCGAGTACCTGCCCTATCTGTCGCATCCACGTTCTGTTACCTGAAGACTTTCCTGAGCTCCCCGCACGCAACAAACATGCCTAAACCTTGTTTTATGACACTCAGTAAGAAGTGGAGTGGCTGCAGATAAATAACCATCCCAACATGGCATGGAAAGATGATGCCTAAGAAGAGGTGGAACGCTGGTTTTAGTGGAAATGATAGCACAATTTGTTCTAATGCAGTATTTAACACTGAGCTGTAAGACGCAGGTATTGCTGTGGCACTTACTGAATGAAGGCAGTGTACTCCATAGGTCAGTGCTTCTCCTGGTTGCTGCCTTAAGCATGTGTACCTCACATAGTTCTGAGGTCAGGACCACCCTGGTGGGGTTCTTGCTTAAAGGATTGAAACACCCCTGTCAAAGGCTGGTTCTGTATGTGCACAAAGCCTCTAAAAAGGGGGTTTTCTTTAGAGCTGATACTACACCTGGTATAAACAATTGCAGAATTCAAATTGGACTTCTTTAGATCATTATGAATATAGTTCATGTTATTGCAACTTTTTTCTCATGTAAATCTGGAGCTGATAATTCAAATTGTTTAAATGATGACTCTTAGCTATACTTTGAAGCACTGAGTATTCTCGTGATTTTTTTCTGTTTACATCTATTTTAGAATACTGTGATTCAATTTTGTAATGTAAAAATATTTTAAATTTCTCTCCTTGATGAGCTAATTTGTTTAAATTGGCATTAAAGGATTTTTATTCTTGGCAAAGCAATATAATGCAGTTGTGTTCTGTGCACAAATGCCAATTTATCAGCAGTGTGAAGTACGTGGTACAACCAGCTGTAGGAGTGGCTGTCCTACTTCTTGAGAAGTCCGAGCGTGCCATGAGTGCCTTCTGCTTTGTAAAATTTGTTTCAGACAGCCAAAGATCCAGGGCTAGATAAGGTACGCTGCATGGTGTAAACACCCTCAAAGTGGTGAGTCTGACCACTGTTTGGGCACAATCCATGTTCAACTATTTCAGGTTATGGTCTAACGGATCATTTGTTTCCCCAAGTCAGTAAGTTGAAGTTTCAAAGCATCTTTTGGTAAGTCAGTATGTTTATTGGAACTTGGGTCAAAAATAAAATTACTACTGTAGCTCTCTGTGGTGGTTCTTTTTGTGTAATATGTTTGTTGTGATTGTGAATTCTTGATGCGTAAGGTACTATTTGCTAGAGAGCCAAGGCGCCACACTGCCTGAAGGATGAGGTACTGTTTTGCTCTGCGTTGCACTGCTTGCAGCCATGTCAGCTTATGTTGTTTTCTCAGTGTGCAGGGAGAGTACAGGCTGAGCAGCCCCCACATGTGCCACAGGTGATGGTGTTCTTAACTAGAACACAACTTGACCTTGAGGTGATAAGGATAAGTTGGGTGTGAAAATGGGTAAAGCAGCACTGACTGTTCATGTGGGGTCTTAGCATTGAACTGATATTTACATATGTATGTTCTCACTTGCTACCAGCTAATCTTGTCCCTCACAGCACAGATAGGATCTCAGGTTCCTTAGTAAGGTGGATGTGGTGTATTTTTTTTTTTAAAACCTTTGCTCCTTTTCTCTTAACTCCCCAAAATTACAAGTTTTACTGACAGCCAGAAGCAAGTCATTCACATCTTTAAAAAGAGGCCTTACAGTGGACAAAAGCGAGGTCTAGTTTTATGAGATTGTTTTGAAGGAGATGAGGTGTCTCAGACTCTAATGGTAAGTAAGTAAGTGCACACAAGGTAGTTTATTTCCAGACTGGGGCAAGGTAAAGCAGCCCTGTTCTGTGTTCAGGAGTCCTGACTCATAGCTGTACTGAATGATTCTTCCTGGCATGTTAGGATGCTTTTGATTTTTTCTTTGTATGTGGAAAAATTGGGGACATGCTCCACAATAACAGCAGAAGTATCCATCTACAAGAAGAGTCCAGTTTCTAATCCAGCTCTCAGTTGTCAGCAGTTTATTGCAGAGAGTCTCACATTAATCCTTGGCTTTCAGGCAGAACTAACTTTTAGGCAGCAAGAAAATCGTAGAACAACAAAACACTTTATAGCAGGATTTTTTCAGCTGTCTCTCCTAGATTCTTGAACCATTCTTTAACCGTCAGTACCCCAGGAACAACATGGTACAGGCAGATGAAAAAGTCTTAGTAGACTGCAGTTAAAGGAGTTCTACTGCCGTGGATACAGTGAGCAGGGGCAGGATGAATGCCGGTGCCTCTTTTCATGTAACTTTGGAATGTGTGAAGTGATGCTGCCACTTCAGGTTTGAGCAGCAGGTGGCACTCCTGTAGACTAGAAACAGACTAAAGTCATCTAGACTAGGACCAGGGGCTGCTGTTTTCCGGAAATTATGCTGTATTTACTGGTTCCTGATCTTAAAAACAAGTGTTTATTTCTAATTAATGGGGGAGGGAGGGATAGAGAACAGCAAAGGTTTTTGTTGTTGTTGTTTGTTTTTTTTTTAAAGAAATTTTTAAAATAACTTTATTTAAACAATGTCAAATGCTTACTCCTGAAGTAGAGCTGATACACAGAACTACATATTCCTGCTTAGCAATACTGCTGGAAAAAGCTAGAGGAAGTTGTTTTTGGCAGTTTTCTTCTTAATTCTTTTTAGGTTGTTATACATCCTAGTTGATGTAACACCCTATATACTTAATCTGCCTCCATCCCACACAAAATTTGTGGAAAATTAACAATTAGAAGAAAATTGCAGCTGTTCTGTTAACATCAAAATCCACTACCTGTTTGTCTGGGGAAGGTTATTTCTTGCTGGAATGGATTTTTTCCCCATCTAGTTCCTACTCTTCCAGTTTATATGAACTTTTATGATTTATGATTACAAAGACTTAACATATTTCTTAGTGTAAAGTTATATATTCACAAATTCCTTTCTGGTGCTTGTATTTGTACTTTTATATTAGTAAGTGGCAATATGAACCCACCTGTTTAAGCAGCAAATGGTCTATCTCCCGTGGAATGGTTGCTCACATAATGAATAATATTCTTCTATGGGCACAAGGTGTACTGCATAAAAGTGCTTTAGGCACTTTCTTCAGTATTTAGTGTAGTCTACACTCTGAGCAGTCAGCTATGCAACAAGGCAGTGCTGCTGTTTGTCATGTCAGTCATTCCTTTTTCACATCAGAGCTGAGCTGTAAAAGTCTAGTAAAGAAGAAAGATGTTAAAATGCTCAGAATAAGTACAGTTTGAAGGTAAAAACTTCTGACTGATCTTTCTTGGCACTGTTTTACACAAACAGCAAAGGTAAAGCAAGGGCATTCCAGGGAATAGCCAGGGATAAGTTGCATGTGAAGCAGTAACTTCAGTTCTGAGCACTCCTTCAAAGCAGACTCATTCCTAATTTGACCAAAATATACTTGATGTTGTTTCACATCATTACTCATTTCACATCTCTCAATTCAGTCATCTTGCAGTATTCATCCCGTGACACTGTGTGGTGTAGTAGCATCATTTATTATATTTCCTCAGATACTATTCAGTCCTGTCCCCTCCTCAAATATATATACTGTACACCATATATAACAGGACTGACTTCATTTAAGTCGTCTTTGAAGGACTTTGGAACAAGTATTACATTATGAATTAAACAGGAAAACTTACTTTGCATATTTCTATAACTTGTGAAAATATGCAAAAAATCATTCACAATTTGCTTGAGAGAAAAAAAGCAGAAAATCTGGCTGCTGAAATCAGACACTTCACAGGGCTCTCAAGATAGTTAGTCCATGTAGGCTATCATAAGACAGGCGCAGGTTTTGAGATGACTGAAAGCCCAAGAACCACCATCAGGAAGAAGGAAGTGATAAGTTTTCACTTCAAATAACACAAGATAAGATAAAATCTCATCTGTGAGTAATTTCATCCTTCTCCAGTGATTCTTCCTCTGGCTATTTACATCCTGCAGAGCTTCAGTGGGAAGTTCTCTGTGATGAGATGATCATCATGCAGAAGGACAACAATGTTCACTTCAAACTCTACAGGAAGAGGAAAAAAAGAGTTCCATTAATTAATCCATTCAACTGAACTGTAGCAGTAAAAGCAGAGCACACAGTTCCTTCTCTCAGATGCATCACGTCACAGGACTCTCCCAAGCTGTTTCTACAGCCAAGTCATACAGGGATGAACAAGATATTCCAGACAGAACCAAATTAGAGACATCTGAGACCTTGGGCCATTGAGACCATTGGCTTCTTACAAGCTGAGTTTCTTCTGGATTTGCTTCCCTGTGACTGAAAATTGGTGCCTGTGTGATCAACATAGATCACATAGAAGATCAAACACTTACAGATTAAAATGGACTTTGGTGTGAGAAACCTCATTCCAAACCATATGTATTTTTTTTAGAATTATGTTGAAGAGTTAAGGAACAGATTCCTGCCCACGCTGTCAGAATGTAACATAAGATTTTAAGGCCTTACAGAAAGTGAAGTTAAACACCAAAACACCATATACGTGTAAATGATAGAAAAAAGTCTTAAAATCTACTTTTCAAATATTCCATTTTGTATAGTCAGAAATAGTATCAGTATCAGGTCTTTATTATTGTCTCCACTTAGAATTCTTTACAAACCTGATTACACTGAACATAGCTGTCTTTTTTGGGCACCTTCATACTTGAATTAAGACTTTAAATACATAAAATAGATATGACATTAAGAGCAGCCATCTCTTATTTAAAAGTAAGAAATGGCCAAAGTAAACCAGTTTTTAAACCGGGGGGGGGGAAATCACAGTACGTATCAGGTACAGAAATGCTCTTGGGGAAACAGGTAATCAGGTAGTGAAAGTTGAAAAGCTACCTATGCATATTTATCCAAGATACAAAGCAGAAAAGTAACAGGAGTTTCAGGTGGGAAGGATCCTGGAAGTAGGCACTTATACTGTAGGAACAGCTACTACTGTAGTAGCAGCCTCAATGTGATGCAATTAAATTAAAAAAAAAAAACAGCAAAAACAACAACAACAAAAAAACTACAGGCTAGCAACAAGTATTTCTGAAGTACTTATTGGAACAAATGAAAACTATCTTAAATTTTAGATGTTTGTTAATGAAGATGGTTTGGATACAGTTCGGAGGAAGTGGCCTGTGTAGATCAAGAAAGCAGAGGTCAAGAAAGTCAGGTACAGTCTGCCTCACTTCTGAATCTATGCAGCAGGAGAATGGGAAGCAAAAAAAGATGCTATGGAAGGAGGGATTCTCAGTGATGGAAAGAAGGAATCTTTGCTTTTTATTCTTGGGCTACTATTCAGGTGTTGAATAACACCATATTTTTTTGGCAAAAAAAAGTTACTCATTGATTATTCTGGCCACGTAATTCTCTTAGAACTTGCATAATAGTATCCTAACTATTTCTGATTGGAAGCACTTGTTCTCTGCTTTCTCAGTCTATATGAAATGCAGCATACTACAGTCCTGTTCACGGAACCTTTGCAAGGAAATAGTTGTCCTTGTTCTTTCTTACACAGCGATTCATCCCATTACCTGCCAGAAGCTGAAGTGAAACTAGCAGCTTATTTTTAATGGAAACTGCAAACAGACCATAAGATCCTATCCACTTACCCACTTTGAAGTTTGTTGTTTCCAAGGTAGGGCAAGTGAACAACCTGGGAAACACCATGTATATAGGAATTGGTAGGCCTCTGCAGACATCTCCATCAGCAATCTGAATATTCTGTATCTCTGTGGCATCTCTGGCATAACCTTCCGCACACCCTGGTGAAAGCAAGAAATTCAGAAGGAGAGGAAGGGAAGGCAAAGCAATGGCCAAAATTCAAATATGAATTTACTGGGGGTGGGAGCAGGGAAGGGAAGGGAACAGGGACATGGCCTTTTGCCCTTTGATTTGTGAGTTTTCGCATGAGTGGTCATAGGGATTGAATTTGAATTAATGTTCAACTGTTCCACATGAAATGCAGAATTATTTTTTGCCAGTCTTTTTAGTTGTATGATTTCTGACAGTCTTGCATATTGAACGTCTAAGTGGTAATTACTGCAGCATTTCCACGTTCCAGCTATAGAGAAACTTACCACAGGTTTCCACACGCACTAACTGCAGCTCAATACTTTTGACTGCAGCTTCTGCACTCTCCACTATCAGCTCCCCTGTTAGTGGCTGCGTAATGACACAGTTTGTAGAACTCAGATGGCCTCTGATGAGAAATTTTGGAAGTGATGCTCTCTAAGAAGATGGAGGGAAAACAAACATAACTACCAGAAGAGAACGGGCAGCATCACCTTACAGAATAAAAACAGGAGGGAGAAGAAAAAAAAAGAAAAAAAGCTAATTATGTGCAGCAAAGCATTTATTCATTCTTTTCTTGTTCTCGTTCAGAATCATGCAAGTAGTAAATTAAAAGTAAATAAATAAAACCCAAACAACTTACCTCTTTAACATTCTGCAAAGTTTCAGGAGTAATTGTGAAGTCTACAGGGCTCGGTGTCAGTTTCCCTTTCTGTGACTAAAGAGTAACGAAACAGTTAAGCTGTAACTGATTTACAGCACACAAATACACACTCTGAATACTAACATCAATTAACAATTGGCTATGTTAATTTTCAGGATCGTCTGCATACTTAAAGTACATATCTGTAACAAAAGACCTGAGATTTCCTAAATTTGGTAGTATTTAGTAATATTATGATATTGTCTGAACAAATCTCAGCTGCAAAGCTGAATTATAGAAACAAAACTGTCAAAATTTTGTTTATTTTGCACTTGCTGTTGTGATAAACCACAACATAATCTCCATTTTTAAGTTTTTGGCATAAGCTCCACCTACACTGAAAAACAAACAAACAAATCAAGTGTCTGACTAATCAAAATGCCCTGGAAAAAATAACACTACCAATCTTCTCAAACATATGAATGCCATAGAAAAAAAATTTCATATTTCTGTATTTACAAATAATTACATTTTGTATGTCATGCTTTACGTTTCCTTAAATTATCATTACTTTGTAAATTTGGGCAGGGAAGAGAAGGTTAAATTGGAGTAATGGAACAAGATTATTTATATGTTTAAAGAACCTTCCCTCTCTCTTGTCATCTCTGAGCACTTCGAGCTCCTTTCTGCTGCCCTTTCAGGACCGGCTCAGGCCTCTTAAGCCATCCTCGTATCAAAAAGAGATCCTCAGTTGAGGGAATCTAATCTGGCACTGATTTAACAGGCGTGAACTCTCAGCTTCTTTAACTATAAAATAAGCAAAATGTGGTCCAGGTTAACTTTCCACATTGGAAGAAACAATTTTAGGGGCACATTCTTGTAGTTGTTCACTTCTTTAGATCACTTATCACAAAACCAAGAAGTTAGTCTTCACATAAATGGTTGGCTGGTCCCTGAGCTCAGCTGTGATGCAGTCTGTGCTTTGAATCAGGAAGGCAAGTGTAATTGACCATTCACCACACTCTCTCCCCACCTTTATCTCAGAGAGAGACACACTGTCTCTTCCCTACATATTTAGAACAAGTGATCAGCACGGCAGCATTAATCAGGAGAGACCCAATTGTATGTAACTAGAAGTTGGTAGAGCACTGCTATACCAGTGGCCTTAACTTGAACTCTAAGTAAGGACTTACTCTCACTACCTAAGAATTCAAAACAGCTTCTGCTGCCCAGCTGCAAGATGGAAGATAATAGCAAAAAGATTGACTGTATTCACCCACAAATGACAAATTCTGGCAAAGAATAAGGTTAAGGGAAATGGTACATTGAGCACTGACAGTGAGAATTATATGTTCAGTAAAACCTCATTAATTCACCCCAACTGGAAGATTCGTCATGATTTACTGACTTGTGTTCTAAGACGTGTCACAGTAGGAACATGAAATAAAATCAGGAAACTGCACAAAGAATTTGTTCCTTATTTTGACAACTATGGCTTACTTATAATAGAATGATGGACTAATAAAAAATAGCATAATACATTTTGGAAAATAATACAATCCTGCCAACAGAAGATCTCCTTTCAGCTAGCTAAATACAGAAGTAAGAATAAATACAGAAGTACAGAATGAAAACAGCATATTTCTACCATATAACAGCGTAAGAGTCTAACACTTTAATTGCTCTGTTAAAAACTTCAAGGGAATGATACAAAACAATACATTCTAGTAAGATGTGTGTGGAAAAAGAGGTATTTAGTTAGGCCTGCAGAACTTGTACTGATAGCACGGGCTCTGAATGTGTGTGTAAGGCGATACAAACTAAAACGTGGAAAAAAATCTGATATAGGAACTTCCAAATAACATGCAGTAAACCATTTATTGTGAGACAGTCAAATCTCAGCCCACAGTGATATAAAAGAAAGACCGTCTCCATGTCACTGACTGGAGATTGTGCTTATATGTCAACCTGGATATCTAGCGTATTGCCAACCATGACCTTATATAATAAAGGTGATTAAGCTGACAAGTTTCTTCCTTCCAATTTGATGCAGTCCTAACTTTGATATTCTGACTTGGGGCTCTAAGTCACAATTAGGCATCTAAGTAACAGAAATTATGTGCTGTCTCTCGACTAACAAACTCCCTTTTCTAGGGCAGGCCTTTGGGTGCCTGAAAGCTTTGGATAGGAAACATTCAAATAATCTGAAATAGCATTTAAAAGAACACATAATATTTATCTAATTACATACTTGTTTCACTTTTAAAAATTAAATAACAGAATAAATGCAATGCAAATCCTATCTATAACTCTACAGTAAAAAAACTATCTATAACTCTACAAAAAAAAAAAAAAAAAAAAAACCAACAGTGT